GGATAATGATAGCACCCCACATGAGATGGACTCGGAGTGGAGTCTGTCTCACTTCATGCCCCAAGATTTCAGTCAACAAAGCTAGCTAAAGTTTTTTTTTAAAAAAACAACTCTGCAAATACAAAATAAAGGCTGCGTCGGCTCGTGCTCAGCAATATCAGTAACTCTCATTGCTTCGCCTTCTTTTTCAAGCTCTTAAATAGACCCAGAACACTCTCATCAAAGCCTTACAAGCTTGTCCGTGCAAGCCAAGGAAGTGTGTGTGTTGTTTTTTTTAACCAGTAAAAAAATCTTTATTAAGTTTCAGTGCGCTGGAGGGGAAGGAGTGGAACAACCTGGAACTGTCCCATGGATTACATTTTTGTTTAAAGCCGCCTGCCTTAACAGCTTGTTAAACTGTTTTAGAAGACACGGATAAAGACTGGCACATGAAGTAGCATAGGAAAAGCAAACCAAATCTCCTGCAGGTTCTCTTGGCCTTGGAGCCCCTACCTCTCCTCCTTGAATTATGTGATTTCAGCATCCTTGGACATACCCCTTCTTCAAAGCAGCAAATAGATAGTTCTTAGCATGTACAGCACATTTCCCTCTTGCCGCTGAGCAACCACAGCCTTTCAAGAAAAAGAAGAAGAGTTGGTTTTGAAAGCCTACTCTTCACTACCCGAAGGAGTCTCAGAGCAGCATACAATCTCCTTTCCCTTCCCCTCCCCACAACAGACACCCTGTGAGGTAGGTGGGGCTGAGAGAGCTCTGACAGAAACTGCTCTTAAGAGAACAGCTCTGAGAGAACTGTGGCTTCTCCATGGTCACCCAACTGGCTGCATGTGGAGGAGTGGGGAATCAAACCTGGTTCTCCAGATTATAGTCCCGTTGCTCTTAACCGCTACACCAAACTGGCTCTCACATTTAGAATTAAGGAACACAGTTTCCTCCAGAACAGATACCAGCTATTTCCACACTTGCTTGAGTCCTGAAGCCCTCTTTCTTAGCAGCAAGCATTGCTTCTGCCTCCTTTGAATCCATTCTGGCAACACAATACCAAAAGGAATTTAGAGGAACTTTAAATGTGTATAGTGAATGGTGGTATTTGGGGTGGTATCACTGTTGCCACACCTGGCTGTATTTTCAGCAGACGGATTGATTGATTCATATTCCTCCCAGATTTTTCTTGCTTAGATGCGTCCCTTTAGCAAATAAGTTGCTGAATATTGTTTTTGTTTGCTGTTGGATAGCAAAACAGACAAGAGGATTTAATCCATTGCGTATTGTGTGCGTGCACGTTAAGAGAATTAAGAAGGATCAGGCAGACCAAATCCATGTGCATTAAATATTCATAGAGGAATTTCCCTGAAGGCAGTATTAGTGGTAAAATTAATTTAATTATTGTTAGCAGGACATCTCTTCAGTATAATTAATTTTAATAGCAAATTTTCTAATCACAGCTGGTATTATTTATGGACATTAATTTAACAAAAGGTTTGAGCTACTTGCAAAGATCTTTTTTTTAAAAAAATCTGTTCTCATCATCAAGGTTCTCAAGCCAAAGGGTGCCATTTGGAGAAAGGGGCTGAGTGGTCTTATAGAAGGGGGATCTCACATCTATAAAGACCCTGTGGGTTTTTTAACTGAATGGGTGTTGCGAGCCATTTGTGCTCTTAACCAGTTCCATGAACTGTAGCCCTCTGGATCAGCTTGACAGTCCATGGTCTTACTAGGAGCCCGTTGCGTATACGTGTCCGTTTAGATAAGACCTTTGTAGTTATGGAAACAGATTTGCACTTCTTTAATCTCTTTTAAAATGAGAAGCAGCACTGCTGAAAACCTATTTTAGCAGGTGCTATAAGCAGGGTTTTGCAAGTAGATAAATAGGTACCCCTTCGGTGGGAAGGTACCAGGGTCATGATGGCGGAGGCAGGCAATGGCAAACCATCTCTGAATGTCTCTTGCCTTGAAAACCCCACAGGATCGCCATAAGTCAGCTGTGGCATGAGGGCACTTTCCACCACCATAATCCCAGACTGTGTATTCACTGATAACTTCTGAAGCAACGGCACACCGTTTTCATTAAAATTCGCAGGCACTACAGGTTTGCACATTCACTGAGCTTATCGCTCCTGCAAATGTTACATGTTAAATGTTTTAGCAGCTGCACACTTCTGTAAAATGCATTGCTGGTCCAGTTCATACATTGGCAGTAGTGTTCCCTCTAAGCTGAGTTAGTGTGAGCTAGCTCACATTTTTTTTAGCCTCCCCCTCACACATTTTTGTCTTCGCTCAGGAAGGATGGCTCCAGAGCAAACTGATTTATGCAGCAGCCAAATCGCTCACTCACAACTTTAATGCCAGGAGCTCACAAAAGTAGAATTTTTGCTCACAAGACTCCACTGCTTAGAGGGAGCATTGATTGGCAGTCAGTCCTATTTGCCTGGTGAAAATGCCCCTTTAGCCTAGCATGGGATAATGGGACAGCAGAGCATAGATTGTAAGCCTGATCTGTGCAATCATTCTCCTCTTTTTATTTTGTATTGAGGAATGGAACAGACTGGACTTGTATATGTGTAGCTGCACAGGCCTGCCACCTCCATCTGCAGGATTAATAGCCGAGTGAATGAACTTTATTTTTTTGCGGCCAAGCTGCAGGCAAGCTATGGTGACCCCATAGAGTTTTCAAGGCGAGAGACATTCAGAGGTGGTTTGCCATTGCCGGCCTTTGTGGCGCCATCCTGGTATTCCTTGGTGTTCTCCCATTCAAATACTAACCAGGGCCGACCCAGCTTAGCTTCTGAGATTAGGCTTTTGGACACTGTGCAGGGCATGTATGAGCTAGTTCATAGTGATGATGGGTGTTCTTCTCCAACAGAATCACAGGATAACCGAATACATCTTGCCTCAGCTATCAAACCCCCCCCCCCAATCCATACATAGTGGAGTTTATGGTCTGTGGGGCTCTTCTCGAGGAAGGTCTTAGAGTCCTGCGTAGAGAATAGGTACATAGAAACGCGGACAGCGGTACAGTGGCTGAAATGGTTCTTCTCCTTCTCCAGTCTTGGTGGTGGTACATTCCTGGGACTGTGTTGTTTGCTGACCGGCTGTGAGACCTTCGAAGAAGCTCTAGAAATGGCAGCCAAAGGAGACAGTACCAATGTTGATAAACTGGTGAAAGACATTTATGGAGGAGACTACGAACGGTTTGGCCTCCAAGGATCTGCTGTAGCATCCAGGTACATATCAGTGGGTCATGTGGAGATTTATGTGCCTGGTATTGTATATGACTAGACTTTGCGTTGTGGTACTGATCTAATCCCACTGCTCACCCTGGATTCTTCTGTCCATTAGGAGTAACTATACTCTTCTCCAACAGGGAAGCCATTTTAATCTCATGCAGCAAAAACAGTGGTACCCCCTATGGGTACCTCAAACACATGAACTGAACAGTTGAAAGTAATTGGGTGCATGAGAGAGAAAATACAATAAATCAATGTCTGTCAAGAGAGAGAACCATTTTGCAAGGAGATATCAGAAGATGAGCAAATATTCCGAAAGCAGAAGTGCTACAAGTGGCTTGGTCAATTAAACTCCTTTATATGTGTTGTCATAATTGATTGCCAAAGTTGGGTGTGCTTGGGCCAGTCCAGGTTTACGAGGTTGTCAAAAGCTAACCCCGGTGCAGGAGAAATGGACAACCATTTTCTGCTGCCTTAACCATACCCACAATCCAAAATGAAGTGAAATCAGAGCTAGCTGGTTGAGCTAAGCCATGTTTGTGGAGATTGCGTTCAGGAAAACACTGTCAACCTTTGCTTCTCACCTTTCAAGTAATGTAGCTGGAGAAGTGGGGGAAGTGTCTTGTTTATTATTTATTGGTTTGTTTAGGACATTTGTATATCTCTCCTTTCTCCTGACACAATCAGAACCCAAATTAGGCCTTAATCATGGTTAACACAGACTATGGCTTGAGCACCTGTTTAAACCATGGGGGCCCTAAGCGATTTACATCAATTCTCCTGTCCTCCATTTTATATTCAGAACAACCACCCTGTAAGGTAGGTAAGGCTGAGGACAGATGGCAAGCTTCCATGGCAGAGTAAAGATTTGAACCTGGGTCTCACAGATTCTACTCTAGCACACTAACCATTACACCACAGCATTTTGTCTTTCCCTTGTACTACTTCACTCCAAATTGCCCTAAGGCAACTTTTCCTTAAAATAACGGACTGTCAGGAGGGTTCAGCCACACACATTTAACATCTGTTTAAGCCTGAATGCTTGCATGGTCAAGGGAAGAAAAGCATAGGTCATGCATTAGGTCCTTATACACTGAATCTTAGTTTACTTCAGTCAGTTGATTGACTCCTATATGCTGTGCCTCTGTTTTCAGGGAATGTAATCCTGTAACGTCCAGCACTGGGTAGCTGTGTTAGTCTGTCTGTAGCAGGAGAAAAGAGTAAGAGTCCAGTAGCACCTTAGAAACTAACAAAATTTGTGGCAGGGGATGTGCTTTCTTGAGTCACTGCTCACTTCTTCAGATATAGCTAGAACAGGGGTGGCCAAACTTGCTCAACATAAGAGTCACGTAGAATAAACGTCAGATGTTTGAGAGACGTAAGACATGAACAAATATTTCACACACGTTTTTATTGGAAAATATGCAAATTTACCTTTTATTAACATTAAATGAGACTGCCAAAAATAAAAACATAGAGTAAAAACAGATATTGATAATGATATTTATTTGTCCAAAGATATTTGTTTGTTTGCTAATCATATTTATTTGTCAGAGAGAGAGAGAGAGAGAGAGGTGGAAAGAGAGAATGAAAGAGGTGGAGAGAGAGAGAGAGAGAGAGGTGGAAAGAGAGGTGGAAAGAGAGAATGAACGAGGTGGAAAGAGAGAAACAAAGAAAGCAAATAGGAGGGAGGGAGGGAGGAAGGAAGGAAGGAAGAAAAAGCATGCCTCCCCTTCACTTCCCCAGCAGCTGCCCTACTGGGAGCCTGCCCAATATGTGTGAGAAAGCTGCATGTGGCTCCCCAGCTGCAGTTTGGCCACCTGAGCTAGAATGTGAGTCCTATACACTGTCCTATACACTGGAAAGTGGAGTTATTTCAGATGTCAAATGTCATGAAGCAGGCAAATGGCAAGTGTGATTGGATTGGGTTTGATATGCTGAGAGGTAGTAGGCGTGGAAGAATCAGCATTGGTAATGGGACAGGAAGTCTAGGTCTTGATTCAGTCCAGGTGGATGTATTGTCTTGAGCTTTGTTATCAGGTGCAACTCAGCAGTCTCCCTTTCTAAACTCCTTTTAAAATTCCTTTATAAGATAGCTGCTACAGGTTTCCTGTCTCATTACCAATGCTGATTTCTCCACACCTGGCATATCACAACTAATCCAATCACACCTGCTAATGTCATTTGGCATCTGAAATCTTTTTTTACAGCGCTTTCATAGCCTATTTCATACCAAAATAAATAAATTTGTTGGTCTTTATCACAGGACTTCTTGTTGTTTGCTCACTGGCAGATATTCAGAATGCAACAAAGACAAAACTTGCAACTTAAAATACAATCATGATTTTTAAGAAAGAAACCCTAGCTCACCATGGGTAGGAGCACTTACTGGTTTGCTAACTTCACATGCTTACCTTTTACCTTGAATCAAGAACTCTTTTAATGATATATGTCCCAGATTGTTTAAAAACATGTATTTAGAAACATTGGTGTTCCTAAAAAATGTAAGAAAGATGACACCTTCTAGTATTGTCATGCAGCTTTGGTCACATGATGAGCAAAGAGAAGCGGGATTCCATCAGTAAAGAGGACCTGGCAAGAGCAACTTTGGTCACCATCACCAACAACATCGGCTCCATCGCTCGGATGTGTGCACTGAACGAGGTAAGGGGGTGTGTGATGGTAAGCTTTGAAAGCTCCTGCTGTGCTCCCAGAAGTTCTTGCATCTCTGGCTTATATGTTTGATCCCTGTAGATGTACGCATTGTTCAGGACCTTTTGCAGTAGCTCATGTTGCCATCAAACTATGCTTTGGCCCACAGGCTTTTCTTTGAATGACTACCGATTATTTCGAAGTTACTCTTTCCCACCTTTCTTTCCCTGCTGCTTTCTCTCACTGAACTCCCCAAATAGCAGCTCCTTGGGACCAAAGATCTTTATGGGAGATGTGTGGTTGCCACCTTGACAATGGTGTCTTCCTTCTTCTTTTCCGCAGGTAACATCTAGTAATAAGACCAAACACATGACATGGTCTCCCCAGGCTGCAGGTTTTTCCACTCTTGGTCCACTGCATTGGCTGCTGCCTGTGACTGTGAGGTCAGGCATGACAACAGGAGACCATGTCACAGTACTTGTATTACTCGATGTTGCTAGAGGAGGAGGAGATACATGGGCCATTTCGGTGGCAACCATGCTTTTGGTGGAAACCGTAAGGGCTAGTTCCAGCTTGATGAGTTTGGTGGAAAGGGCAAGATAAAAATGTAACAAACTTTTTTAAAAAGTGCATTTTGAATTGCTTGTTCTGTGTCACAACATAATTTGTTTCCCTGCTTTTGTGACTGAGACTGCCTTGGAATGCTCCTCAACGAATTTCTTGGCCTAGGTTGTAACAGTCTTTTTAATCCCTAGTCATCCTTCTCTTTGCTTTCAGCTTCTTTACAGTGTTGCCTTGTGGCATGGAGTTCAAGCAGCATTGTACAGGGCTATCAAAGCAGAGAGAGCTAACCACTGCAAGCAGCAAAGCTTTGGCTTTAACACACGGAGATCGGCTTGTGCCGATACATGCGCATGTGCCGCCAAGTCACAACTGACTTACAGGGACTCCTGCAAGGGGTTTTCAAGGCAAGTGAGAAGCAGAGGTGGTGTGCCATTGCCTTCCTCTGCAGAGTCTTCCTAGTTGGTCTGCCATCCAGCAACCAATCCTGCTGAGCTTCCAGCAACCAATCCTGCTGCGCTTCCAAGATCTGACAAGTTCATGCTGTACTGCCTGCTGCCTTCCTCCCCTGTACTGATAGCATGATAATATTTTGTTTTGAAAAGAGGATTACGTCTTTCTTGCTTGATGTGAAAGGCTGGTGAGAAGATGCATGAGTAGGGTTTTCAGTACAGTGGCAGTAGCAAGGTCCGTCGTTACCCTTTCGCCAGTAGAAATGGGCTGTGGTGTTGCAGGGAATGCTCCCACTGCAGTGCAGTAGTCTACCCACAATTTGTAGTCTACAGCCCATAATATGGGCCTGCTTCACACGGTGGTTCTCGAGATTGCTGAAATAATTGCGTTTAAGATACGGCAAGCACTTTGGAAAAGTGCTGCATGAATCCTAAGCTTAAGGTATTGTCTGGTTTTACTAGAAATATGACTTGAAGGGGAAAGCGCTGTGTTGCCCAGAAAAGTAGAATTCAAAGGTGCTTGCTTAAAATTAGCCCTTAGCATGTTGGCACTTGAAGATCTCTGGACCAAAATGAGTTGCAGTGATTTTTTTCTTTTGGTGCTCTATGTAGTCACCAACCTCAAGGGTGATAATTAGGCTGCCAGCACTGAGACTCAAATTGCAGTATCAGAACAAAGCTCTTACTGCTATAAATAATGCGAGCTTGAACCCTTTTTAATCACATTCTTTCTAAAGTAGTTCAGTCATGCTAAATACTGATGGCTGTCAGCCAAGAATTTTAGCCCACTGCTACATTTATAGAAGCCTAAAAGCATAACAAGGATGCCCTCTTCTTGGTATGTATTATATAAAGTGTACAAGAAGGGTTCAAAGCTACTCTGAAATTTCTGAGGTTTGGGGCAGCCCGGTAGCTATGGTGGGGCTTTTGGGGGCTCTGTCCCCTTTCTTAAAGACACAACCCCACAAGAATTTCTCCTATAAATGCTTTCTTCAAGTGCAGCCTCAGAGCGAAGTCATGGTGTATTCTCCCATCTATCTCACTCAGGATGAATTTCACACATTCATTGAGGCCCTTCTTCCACATCTCCGTGCAATCGCCTATAAAGGCTTTTTTCCAATCATTTAAAAACATTTTTAAAGGCGTGTGCTCCTTTAAGCAGAGGGGGGTGCTGTAGTTGACTAATTCCTGCACTGAGCAAGGGGGCTGGAGTAGGTGACCTCTAGGATCCCTTCTAACTCTGTGTCAAGAAACTGGTCTCCTTTAAGAGAGTTTTCTGTCCAAGTGTTAGCTTTCTTGACTGTAGAAGTCATCACCCCCACCTGCTGACTTGTTACCAGAATTGTTGCTTAGGCTGGCAGAAGTGATTAACTTGCAGCAGCTGAGAACTGTCATCTAAAGTGGTTGACAGCTTGCAATTTAGAGATCTATCCTGATAACAGCTTTCTATTGGCTAAATGGCTTTTCGTTCTGCACTGAGAACTTCAGCCCCACCAGAAAAAAAATTGACCCGCAAGCCACAGAATCCTGCCTGCGGACTTGGTTTGGGGTATTTTCTGTACAGAGCATCTTGGCAGACATACCATCTATTAGTTATGAACCTGGAGAATAGGCCGCCTTGCTGTCCTGAATGTCGTTGGCTCCAGAGCACGCATGAAGCATCCCTCCAGTCCAAATACATCTTCATTACACACAGAAAGCTGGTCCTAATGTATTGAAGAGTGTAATTTATACTTGGGAGAAGCCTGTTGTTGCAACCTTGGAGGTGCAGATCAGAAATGCTCAGGATTGGATTTGATACAGGTGTATTTGAAGACAAATGCTTTCGTTACTCCAGAATAGATCTGGTACTGGTATGGCTAAGTATCATGGTTTACAGTGGCTTGTAAAAACAGCCACTTGATTGCCAGTGGCAAGGAGGAAACTTTTTTTCAGGTGACTAAACCGAACAGCTTCTGTAAATCAGAAGACACGCAGCCCAAGTATAGGTGCATGCTTACTGGGAAGCAGTTCCACTGAGTTGAGAGGGTGTTACAAAACACACACACACAATGTTTACAAGAAGTTGTGGGTATTTTTTGCTGTTTTGTTGTATTGATGTGATGTGGTTGACACAGTTACATGTGGCCAGTAAGAGTAATTACTGTGGACTTGCCACAAGGTGGCTGCGATAAGCACTGCTTTGCTTTTTTAAAAAGCGCTAATCTTGCTATGTAAAAATGAACATAATGACATTTCCCTCAACATAACACTGCAACAGCAGCAGAAAGGAGCTTCTTCATAATATTGCTTGAAAAATGGCTTTCTGGCTATAGGTAAATGTGACCTCTTGGTATTATCCTCTCGAAATAAGGTCATGGAGTTTTGGCTGCTCTCGCGGTCAGTGCTTTCAGGCCGTGAGGCGGAATGAGCACTGAATAAAATCCAGTAAGTGGTGTGATTTGAAAATGACATCTCATTAAATGTATTTTTTTTCCCTTGTTTCACTTAAATTTTACAGAACATTGACAGGGTGGTGTTCGTTGGAAACTTTCTGAGAATCAACATGGTCTCCATGAAGGTACTAGCCTATGCCATGGATTACTGGTCAAAGGGACAACTCAAAGCTCTCTTTTTGGAACATGAGGTAAAGGCTGTTAGAAAGACATAACACTCATTCATCTTCTCAGCTGTCTTACTTGCATCGTGAAGGGGGGGGGGCACCCAAACTGTTCATTACATGGTTGACACTCCTACTTAAAGTAGTTTCTGACCGGTGGTCTGCGTGTATGTATTCCCACAAATAATACTACCAGAGAGAGATTGTGAGCACATGTTGTCATACAGAATTATACGTTGTAGAAAATACTTGACCTTGACTGTTTGTTGGGTGCCGTGCTAGTTTCCTTTATTGCAGAAGGGACCAGATAGCCGAAACATGGGAGTTAACCAGAAGCCCCGTCTCGTTTGCGCTTTGGACACTGTGCAGATTTTGATTAATTCTACTTATAAATTTTCCTTGGACTTCTCCCTTGTGAGAGTTTTCTGTATGCCACTTGGATACTGGATGGGGATAACTATATTTATGTATTGAATGTCTTACATGGAATATTGGGAATAATTAATACATTATAATAAAACTTTGAGTGTATATAATCACCTTTCATTTTTGCCTTTATTGTAATAGCACTGTATTTCACAGTGGTTGTATTTCCACGAAGGCATCCGAGGCTTTCGTCTAAGGCCTTTAGAGCAGAGTATTAAATGTACAGCTTAATGTGAAAGCTCCCTTAGGGTATGTTTCCATCTTATACTAACTCACTAGATAGCTTCCTGGCAGTTGTAGTGAATTTTTGGCAGTCTCCGTCTACTTCCTTCAATTCAGGGAGAGGTAAATTGCATGGGACTTTCTCTGCAATAATCACGAGATAGTTGCATATGAAATACAGGCAAGCATGCTCCCCATTCACATGGTAACAATGCATTTTTAAGGGTCCAGAGCTTTCCACAATACAGGCTTATCACGATGACACGCAGCATCATGAATGAAAGTGAACAAAATGACGTTTTGCATTTTGTTTCTCCTTATAGGACAAGTGACGTGTTGAATCTTTTATTGGGCAAACTAGAGTTCATGAAAGGAATAAGCCTGATTTATTCTCAGGGTCGCAGGTGTCCTCCCCTCTTCCTTTCTCATGGTGAGCCAAGATTGAAGAAGACTTCCTGGTTTAGGAAGTCTTTATTTAACCTCAGTTTGTTGTGGTGTCTAATTTTCAGTGTGGCAACAAATAGAACTTTCTTCCTTGTACAACAAAGTGGGATTCTAAGCCATGGGCTTGTCCTAGTTTAGAATTCCACCTTGTGGAAAAGAAACTCCGAATTTCACATTCACTCTTAAGACTTCCTGAACCTTGCTTGTGAAAGGGAGAGCGCACAGCCCTGAGAATAAAGCACCATGTCTAAATTCACGCACCAACAGTGTGATCCCAATAACACTTGCCTGAGAATAGACCCCCTAGAGTAGGATTTGGGTAGAGTTGCTTAGGATTCCACTGTAAGTTTGTTTTTGTTCTCAGACGTGTATGTGTTGGAAAAGCTACATAATTGTCCTTTTTGACAAATATATTGCCTTCTTACAGCATGATTGACTTTTCTCCTTACCTTGCAGGGTTATTTTGGTGCTGTTGGGGCCTTGCTAGAACTGCTGAAAATGACAGATGATCAGTGATGGAAGCCCCCCTCCCCCAAAGGAGCTTGAAACCTGTGAAGCTGCTGCAAGAGTGAAAGTTGCTAGGAGGACGGGAGACAAGCCATGACGGAAGTTCTACCTGCTGGATTTGTAAATAATAATTTAAACTCCTTGTAGCTGATCTTTTAACTTTAGGGTTGGAAGCTAACTTGAGAATTGATACTAGGAAACTTTAAAAAAAAGGCATTTTTACCTTATACAGTTGTTTTTTTTAGAGAAAAAAATGTGCAATGTGGCCAAACTGGCAGATTTTATGGAGTGTGTTTAAAAAATATGGGTACTGTATGATGGGGAAAGGACCTGACACGAGACACTGGTTTTATTTTATGTTTTGTTCTTCTGGGGTTTACTGATCTAGTGCGGTAATTCTTCATTTAGTAATTGCTCTAGGAGATTTTTTAAAAAAAATCTTTTTCATGACGTTTCATGATTCGCTGTTGGTTTCAAATGAAACTGCAAAACTGACATTTAGTGTGAGCACTAAAGTACTTTAATCTTTGTTGCCTTCATTCCCATGAAAGAATCTTCCTATTCCATCCCCCCCCCCACTGAAACAACTCTTCACTTTTTTTTTTGGCTGCTCAAGTTTGCAATAATAAGAAGTGCCAAGAGATGTGCCATCAGAGCCTTGAAAGCAGGGAGAAGACCTTGTGCTTTCCTGACTCACCCCCACCACCCTTGGAAACTCTTGTGTCAAGTTAACCATTCCTTGCAGTATCTGAAAATCCTCACTTATACTGTTGTGAGCTGGAGATAATTATTGGGTGGAAGGAGAAGCCCAGTTCTGGAAGCAGTAAACTAGTTTCTGGACTGTTAACCTTTCAAGCTGCACCTGGTTGAATGCTCCCCAGACCAAAATAAATCACTAAAGGCCGTTCTTCCTTTGATGTGTTCTTATGTCTGGGAAATGCTTTGTGTTTTGTTTAAATATGGAGGAGCTCCTGCCTGCGCTCTGAAGCAGCACATTCCGGGAGGAAGACTGCCAACTGATCTACGGATCCAGAGGAGTTAGCCATGTTAGTCTGTTGCTGCAAAAGCCCAGTAGCACCTTTAAGACTAACAAACGTTTTATTGTAGCATAAGCTTTTGAGAAACACAGCTCTCTTCGACAGATGCATCTGATGAAGAGAGCTGTGTTTCTCAAAAGCTTATGCTACAATAAAGTTTGTTAGTCTTAAAGGTGCATCTGACCTACAGTATATGAGGAAGGAAACCTTTTATACGACTCTCTCTGCAGATGAAACTAACAGAGCTGCAGATGGTAATGTGATAACATTAGACAATGTGATCAGTTTTTCATGTTGGGAGTTTACATCTGTTAATTTTAAAACATTCTTGTTGGTATTCATAAGGGGTCGAATAATTAAATTAAAAGTTGGTTCTCAACTTTTAGATTCCTACGTGTGATGAACGATTAAATCTAGACCGTTAAGGACTGCAAAGAGCAGCTTAGTTCTACCAAATCATCCTCTGCTTTGCAGACTGGTGTTGGGAAGGCATTACGAGCGGGCCATTGCCTCCAGGGTCCATCAGACGGGCAGTGCAAGTTTTAGGAAGCAAAAGTTCTCTCTGCATTGTTTTCCCCCCTTCGTTTTGAACTTGGTATTTTGATTTCTTTCTCTTCAGAACCGTTATTAAATTGATACTAACTGAAGTGTTCACTTGACCTGGTTGAAATAAAAGCCCATTACTGTTGTGATGGTTTTAAAATGCATCTGCAGTCTTCCTTTTCTACGTCTGCAACAGGCAATCTGTAGCACTTGCTTTTTATGTACTTTATAGGAGCAGGGACAATTTTTAAAAGGAGCGCAGAAGGCAATGGAAAAGAAAAACTAGAAACAGCCGGTGATTTCACCACCTTTCTCTGGATTTATACCAGAACACTGGGGTACAGGCAAACACACTCAGGAACAGAGGTACATCAACTGCAATCGGTCCTTCAAGTTAGCTTAAAGGACAGACAGGAAGAAAAACACAAAGTAGGAAACAAAAAACCTCCCCACAAAGAAGGAAGGCCGAGTGTATGTCTGACTTACATGCTGTAAATAAGTTTTTTTTTTTTAAATGCTTGTCATGAGTAAAATGGTGCTGAGCTACAAGACCTCCCCGTAATACTTGAGGAGTTAGAAGTGTTACTTGAAAAGATAATCAGTTTCTAGCCCCTTTGGTTTTGAAAGCACTTCCAAAAAAGTTATAACAGGGCTTAAGCCCTAGATACCAGAAGAGCAAGTGAGCAGAATAGCGTCTGGGGCAAATGCATTATTTCTCTTTAGCAGGGCTAGCAGGATGAGATTTGGTATGTACTGTAGGACATTCTCCATCCGAATAACTTAAATTTGTGCTACGTTGTTATCCCACCCATCCTCCAAATGTTAGTTGGCAATTCTATCACGGGCTTTTTCTCCGTTTGAAGAGCCACTTAAACTGGAGGGAGGCCGAAGGAAGACTTCAGTTGTTGCTTAGTGGAGTGGTAGGATATCGGCCACTGTTTCCTCTTTTATTTTAGCCTCACAACAGCCCCTGTGAGGTAGACTATGCTGAGAGAGTATGACTGGCCCAAGCATCACTTAGTGAGCTTCATGCCAGGGCAGGGATTTGAACCTGGGTCTTCTCTGTCCTCATCTGACACTCTTAGCCACTCCACCACTTGGGCTCTCAACCCCATGCAAAACAGATGGGGGTGTGACATAGGAAATGCAGCAGCCTGAAACCCTCTTTTACTACTTAGGCCAAGTGAAATGGACAACATTTAACTGTCACAAAGGAACTGCATTGTAGTTAAAGACAGGTAATCCCATCGACTATACCTAGTTTGTGCTAAGTTGATAAATCTGCATTTGGACCATGAGGTGGATGCTTCTGTGATGGAGTATTCCCACACATCCACACGCGCTCTCCCTGTGTAGTAAAGACGTCAAGAAGAAAGGTCGAGAGCCAGCTCTGCACAGTGGTTAGAGTTGGGGGGGGACTAGACTCTGGGAAACCCACTTACAAATTCCTACTCTGCCTCGGAAATTTACTGGGTGATTCCGTCATACTTTGTCAGCCTAACAGGGTTGATGTGAGGATAAAACAAGAGGAGAGAATGAAGCTTTAAGTTGCTTTTGGTCCCCACTGGGGAGAAAAAGGGGTAAAAAGGTAAAGGTAAAGGTTCTCTTGCTCGAAAGCCAGTCAAATCTGACTCTAGGGTTGTGGTGCTCATCTCAGTTTCAAAGCCGAAGAGCCAGCGCTGTCCGAAGACGTTTGCGTGGTCATGTGGCCGGCATGACTAAACACCAAGGTGCACGAAACACTGTTACCTTCCCACCGAAGTGGTACCTATTTATCTACGTACTTGCAATTTCTTGCTTTCGAACTGCTAGGTTGGCAGGAGCTGGAACTAGAGACGGGAGCTCACTCCGTCATCCGGCACACTCGGGTCTCGAACTGCTGAACTACCGACCTTCCACAACCAAATATCCTAAATAAATCAATTTTAGCTTAGCGTGCACTTTCTGTCATATTAGTTTTCTATGTACAGGAAACGTAATTGTGTGTGTGGGGGGAGAAACAATGCAAAAACAGGGATGTTCGGATTATGCACATGCCCTAATTTGCATCAGCCTGTTTTCGCTCTAGGTTTGCGCATCAGTTTAAAACCTCCGTCTCTGTCCTGCCCTGCAACCTCCATAGAAAGTAGTTGTTAATCAGCATTATGTGTGAGGCTTTCACCGCCAGATGGCAGTGTTAGATTGGAGTTTGAGTTTCCTAGTATGTGCCTTGCTCGTTTCTAAAAGCTGTCAAAATGCTTCTACAGAACCATATACAACTTGAATCTTTTTCTTTACAAAAATCCTTAGTTTCTGATGCACTCATAACAAGTACACGTTGTCAGGGAAGGACAAAAATTGCTACTGCCGCTTCTGTTGTTTTGAGAGTGGAGGGGTACAGTTCAATTGAATCTACTGCTTTGTTCAGAGGCCTGGGGCGTGCTCCAAGAGGCACCTGTTTCGACAACATGGCTGAAGCTAAAACAGATCTGGTCAGTGCTTGGGTGGGAGACCTGGGACATCATCCCCCCCCCCCTAATTTATCCTCACCTCCATGATGGAAGAAAGACAAGATGTAATGGAATAAAATAAGCAATGGTGTGAACTTTCAGTCCATTTGGATCTATATGCCAGTAAATAGGTACAATGAAGCCGTCAGTCATCCTGCAGTGAAGCAGTGCCTGGCAGGATTTAACTTAAGACCCACTGAGCTGAATACAACCCACTTGCCACGGACCTCTGCCCACCCATGTCAGAATAAAATAATACCTTGGCTGCTTTCCTGAGGCTGACAGAAAAGGGGCAGGTTGTGTTTTGACTTGGTGGATCACAAGTTGTACATCCCTAAGATGGAACCTTCCACATAGTGAAGATCTTGTTGTTGTTTTTTTAATTTTTATTTTCATAACAATCAATAACAGTAAATATTGTTCCATCCAATTTCTGTTTTCATCTGTCGTTGGCCCTCATTCAGAAGGGATTGCTCATCAGTTGGTTTACTGGTCCAGGGGGAAGTATGTGATGTCCCACCTTACAGCAGCTGTAACTGATCAGTATCTTGCTATAACATGTGAAGACCCCATGAACAAAGCTGCAGATGAGTAAACGCCACTCTCCACATCACAAGAGAGTAAGTGTTCCATGCAACTCAAGGAAGTGAGCCCAGCTGTATTGTTGCTGGAGAGGACTAAAACAAAAACAAAATGGTGCTTATATGTACACAGTGGCTATTGCTTCCATATTACAAATGTGACCTTAAGTTCGTAGACTAGTAGTTCTGACAGCACTGCCTCCAGTTTCCCCTTGGGTGATATCCATTTGCTTTGTTGTGATGTGTCTTTTTCTGAACTCTTGGAATGTGTTTATGTATACTTCAAAGCTTTGCTCACAGTATTTCTTCAGTTAGGATGAACACCAGCTGTACCAATTAGAAATGTGGCAAACCCAGCATAAACACAATTTATTATGAAAACAGCTACAGTCTTGCACATGTTTTATCAGGGATGCAGAAAGCATAATTTGGGGACCTTGTAAGAAATTAATGTAATGGGGATTTCAGGAAAGCATATTTTACAAAAAACCCTTTTAGCTTTTGCCGTCTTTCCCTTCATCTAAGACAAGTGTGATATGCTTTGAAGGATCTGAGCTGTCGGATGAAGCAAACAGTCCTTGCAAGAGCTCAATTCTTCATGCTAATTAACTTGAAATTGAACATTTGCAAATTTCTTCAAACTTAAAACAGACAGAAACCCCATTTTTTTTAATACTCGTGAAAGACAGCAGGTGTAAGTGGCCCAATTATTGAATTAATGACTGTAAGTATAGCAAACTGGCTGATATTCCAGCCCTGGCCATTTTTGTTCCCTTGATCACAAACACTGGTGGTCCAAAACATGTACATTTGTGTTTTTTACTCCCTCAAAACAAAATGCACATTAAAATACACATACACACAAATATTTTGTCTGAAGTAAAACTGTATACACTTTTATTCTTATTGCTACAACACAAACAATACCCAACAAATTACTTCATATTGTTTACAATTTTTGCTAGCTTGACTGTAGTGCACAGCTTGACTATAGTGTAGTGGTTAGATTGCTAGACTAATAGACCTGGGTTCAGACCCCTACAGTACAATGAAGCCCACTAGGTGACCTTGGACGAGTCACACAAACAAGCTTAATGTGGAGCAGACCCATAGCTATGGCGGAGCTTTTTGGGCTCTGCTGCCTTTCTTAAAGGCACAGCCCCACAAGAATTTCTCCTGTAAATGCTTTTTTCAATATTTTTAAAACATTTTTAAAGGATGTGCGCTCCTTTAAGCAGAGTGGGGTGCTGTAGTTGACTAATTCCCGCAGTGAGCGAGGGGGCTGGAGTAGGTGACCTCTAGGATCCCTTCTAACTCTGCATCAAGAAACTGATCTCCTTTAAGAGAGTTTTTCTGCCTGTTCGCTTTCTTGACTGTAGAAGTCATCACCCCCACCTGCCAGCTTGTTATCAG